TTTGTTCCGGCTAATCTCTGAAATGACCGGACCGATTTTGACGGGACTTTTATTGGCAGGTAGCTGATGTAATAAGGAGTAATTTAGGCTACTTTTATTTTAGAAAAAAAAGTTAAATTCCACACGGACGACGTCTAGGGTACAGCTAGTAATAAATATAACTATATATTTGTACATTATAGTAAAAAAAGACATTGTGTTATTTCAAAATATTTTATTATCTGTATGCACGTGACTTTTACACAAACTTCAACAGATAATTAACCCACAGATTTTATATTAATATTAAAATCACAAATATTAGTTTTATGAAACTAAGATAATGTACGTATCGGCAGATAATAAATCTATAAAACTATATCAGTGTTGCCACATTACGCATTAATGTAATTACATTATTTCTAAATGGTAACCGTACAGAGATAATTCGTTAGAAATGAAGCGGTGGTTAATTTTGTTCGTTGAACTACAATGTTTGCAGGTGAGGTTTTTTTATCATTATTTGTTATGTCATAACCTATTTGTATAAATGCGATATTGGCAGTGTTGCATTATACAGAAGTTGTGTTTACAAAAGATTTAGTTCTTATTACGAAATTCGAAGTTTCAAAGAAAATACAAAGAAGCAACGTCTCATATATGGGAAGCCTCGGCAGTCTATCGGTTTAGCATACCGCCTTACTTCCAATGGTCGCGGGTTATATTCCTCGTACAGTTCAAATAGTATTCATGAGTATGATTATTTATAACAGTCTGGGTGTTTTCTATATATATTATGTATACATAAAAAAATACCTAAGTATTTATATCAGTTCTCAATACATTTATGAAAATATCATCTATGCCAGAAGGAATATAGACAGTTTCAAAAGAGTTAGTGATTGCACTAATAAAAGCTTACGTAACAATAACAAACTGATTTTACCTAAATATCGTTTGGCTAAAGTTAGTAATTCGTTTTATGGTAATTGCGTAAGGTTTTACAATATAATACCAGAGTCTGTTATAAATCCGCCAGAAAAAAGATTTAAATGTCAAATAAAACAGTTCCTTTGCAAAAAAGCTTACTTTTATAGTAAGCTTTTTGCTTGAAGAATTCGTTAACGATAATAATGTTTTTATAGAAAAACTTTAAATCTATAGCACTGACAATATTATCTGATTACATTAATAATGAGTGCGTAGCGACTTCTATGTTGATTATCGCATGCCTCTTACTTGTTATACTGTAATTATTCATATGAAAAAAACATCTATTAAAAAGAGCAACACACAAGTTTCTTGCTCATTCTTCTTGTGATGAATCTGCATTCCGAATGAGTGGTAGAATCAAAATATGACTATTCAAAAGTGCTTGTAATGAGTTTATTTGAATAAAGAATATTTTTATTTCTATTTCTATTTCAAATTGTTTAGTAGATACTCCTCTAAAAGTCTCTTGAAGTCATATCTTCATTTAGGTAATCATGGAATTAAGGCCACAAATTAGTTGCAATATACCATTAATGCATTATGATGATGCAATTGAATTGATGCATTATGACCTCAAATGACGTCACAAAAACAGATACCTTCAAAAACGTATTCTTTAACACGTGCGGATGATTCACTCAGTCATACGCCTCCCAAGGTGATTTGATTAGAATTTTCTAGAATTTCCCAACCAATTCTAATTATAATAACATACTAATAGTTGCGAAAGTCGGTCTGTCTGTTTAATTGTTTTCTAATAAAAAACAAAAACCTTATAATGTAAATACAAAATATACTTGAAATGTTATAAAAAAAATTTGATTGCGTGGTCATTGGCAAATAATGATTTATTGTTTTTATGTATTTTAATTTTTTTATTTTTTATTGTAAGTAGTGTAATGTTATATTAAGAAGTATGTATGTTATTATATTGTGTAAAAGCAAATGTTAATAAATGAAATATTATGCACCCTGGGAAGGTATGTGACATTTATATCTATATCATGAGATACAGTATAATTATATACTAGTTCAGGTGGCACAATTACAATTATATGTTCAAATTGTATTGACTCTTATATAACACCTTAATTCTGTGACACAACCTAATACTGCAATAAATATTTATTGTTGAATAATGTTAATGTGATGTACTACAGTTTCATAGACAGATATTAATATCAGAGGTTTTATATGTGTGCTAAAATTTATAATTAAGATATATTAATACGCAAATAAACACCTACTTACTTTGAAATTAGATTCATGAGGACTATCATCACATTAGAAGGTATCGTTAATCTAAAACAAATATCTCGTAGTGGATGTAATAGGAGATGAAACGTTATATGAGCAGACTAAGTCATGGGTAATAGCTAGTTACAGTTGAATAATTTTATCTTATTGTATTACTAATTGAATTTACAATGAACTTGATTTTTTCTTATTTCAGATTATTTTCGGCCAATACAACACACCGTTGCCAAATATTGGATATGGATTACCACATAACAACTTACCAGCCAATACTTCGCCATATTTAAGTCCAATTAACAGTTTACCAACCAATAACATGCCGTCCAATAATGTCATGAGGTTGCCAAATGCCAATAATCAGCCAGTTCCAAATAATGTACCTTTTAGTAATTCGTTAACAAATATACCAACATATCATCCCCCTATTAGTAATTACCCACTAAATAGTGAGTCTCGTAACAATTTTCCAATCTCTAATAATTATCAAGCTGTTAATAATATACCACAAATAAATAAAATAGATTTAGCTAACAATCTGATACATAATTTAAATAATTATGGTGAAACTATAAATAATATACCATATCGTAATAATTTTAAGATCGATAATACAGCTATTGCTAATAATTTACTATTTGGAAATAGATTACCCCTAACTGATCTTTCAACCTCTGTAGGCAATAGTATTCCTATATCTAATAATATCCCATTTATCAATAATGATCAAATAGTTAGTACTTTGCCAATGGCCAGCCAATGGCCTGATAATCTTGCATTTAGAAATAATCTACCAATAATTAACAATTTTCCAATAGACAACAAACAGTCAATAATCACTAATTTGCCAATTACTAATAACTTGCCAATGGTTAATAAATTGCAGAAACCTAATCACTTGCCATTGGTTTATAATTTGCCATTTGTCAATAACTTGCCAATAGTTAATAATTCGCCGACTGCGAATAACTTTCCAGTAGTTAGCAATTTCCCAATTGATAACAACCTGCCAATCGCTAAAAATATACCATTTGTTAATAACTTTCCAATGATTAATACTTTGCCAGTTGCCAATAACAATCCAGTAGCAAACAATATTCCAATAGCCAATAAATTACCGATACTGAACAATTATCCAATAGTTGATAACTTACCAATATCAAATAATTATCCTATATTCAATAATATCCCATTGTCTAGAAACGTTCGTGCAGAAAATAATTTACCAAATTATAATAATGATAATATTTTACCAAATTTACATTTTGTACCAAATAATATCAATAGTTTACAGGCTACGAATCAATTGCAAAGGATGATTCCATCATCAATTATGGAACAACCTTTAAATGCTCAAACATTTCACAATAATGTACCAAACAATTTGCCTTCATCTGCCATATTCCCAATTGGAAATTCACAAACCTCCAATTCGGCATTTAATGGCATATCCATTGAAAATATTATACCAAACAATTATGTATCTACTTCCTATACACCTAAATACGATTTTAATAATTTACAATTACCTTTGTCGTATGGCAATGATTGCCCTTGCAACCGACCTGAAACTGTGATACTTTTAGATGATGGATTGGTAAATACTCTATCAAGTTCTTCAAGTGATACACCGTCTATATCACTAAGTGGCTTACAATTAGGTGGGCTTGGCAATCTGCCATTGTTCAATGGTTTGCCAGTGATTGGCGTAAAAGAAAAAGTTGTAAACATATCATCTTTGTAATTACTTTTAATGTTGATTCTTTTGTTATGTTGTTATTTAATATATTTAATTTAGTTACTAATTTTATTTATTAAATTAGTTGTAACGTCTATATGTTTTATTTAATACTACCTAACCCGTGCAACTTCTTCTGTGTCACATTTTTCCCCTTTTGGCAACATTTTTTTATTGCAGCTTGGCTCCTATTAGTCGTAGCGTGTATTTATATAGCCTCGATGTATGGGCTATCTATTATTTTTTTTTATACTACGATGTTGGCAAACGAGCATACGGTTACCGTAGTCTATGGACACCTGAAACACCAGGACAGCGCAACAAACTGTGTAAATGAACAACTATATTATTACAAGATTTATGCCCTTCTCTCTTCTATCTAAATAAATAACTAAATTTATTTCCTGCGCCTTTATTTTCATAGGAACACGTGCACTATTAAAATTAAAATATGCTTGAAACATAATTATGTTCGCGTAATATTAAAAACAAAAAATCTATAACATATAAATTATCAACAACTTCAAAGATTATATCTATAAGAGGACTGGAAGAGGAGGAGGTATTTGTGCCCTATTCTTCTTTTGGTTTCTGTGCGTAGTTAAATTATTATTATCAAGGAATCTGTTGTAATAAATTCCGTCGTAATATTTAAAATTAAAAATCGATTTAATAATTATCATAACTTTCAAGTTTATACTTCTATAAGAGATTTCTTGTAGCAATGAGACAGGTTTTTTGCACTATTCTTCTTTTGTATTCTGTGCGTAGTTATATTATTTTTTATATGATCAAGGAAACTGTCGTAGTCAATTCCTGGTGAATTCGCCAAGAATATTTCACTTATGCCCCGCCAGCATATACCATTCGTGCTGGATCCACCATATCATTATCATACATTAAAAAACAAAGTACCGCATTTTGTTTATATAAATAACAATTGTTTGTATGAATCATATATAATGATTCATTTAAAAAATTGATAATTCACACTATATAGAGGTGAACACCTGTTGTTATTTTGATAAATATAAAAATGAACAGTTATGTGTGGTTAATATGTTTATTGTGTCTTCATGTAAGTATTCATATATTTTTTTAATATAATTAGTATGGAGAATTAGCTGACAGTCCACCTGATGGAAAGTAGTAGCCGTTACTACGAACCGTGCTGCGTGGAATTGGATTGACGAGGCATATGCCAACGGTGGATCCCATGTTGTTGTAGACAGAGAATGAGATGAGAATCATCGTATATGAACATGAACAGCATCTTGATGGACATCACGTCATCATGATGGTGATATTCATTCGATGTGGTATCAAAGGACTAAGTTATGACTCTATATCCTGTATTATGTAGTAAAGTAGAACTTATATTATATAGGTCATAAAGTTACATATCTTCATACTGATTTATGTATCTCTAATTAGATTATAGTATCTCAGAATTTATATAATTCTTCTTTCTTTTCCAAGATTTTTTATTTTAAAGAGCACATTCATTCTCGCGGTCTGACATGAAAATCAATATTTTGCTCCTTGAATAATTTTCCACACAGCGCTAAGAGTCAATACAAAAGTATTGTGGCACAATATGTATGTTTACCCACATTCTATTGTATTAGTTTAAATGTATAATAACCTACTTGTATTATACAACATACAGATAAAGAGTGTTATGACTTAGTTTAGTTCTATTTGCTATACCGAATTACACCTTAACTTTTAGACACTAAAGATCTAAATTTGACAATTACCGATTTATTCTTCGGTGATAGAAGAATGAAGATAATTGTAGTATCGACCTCTTTGATATTGTAATCAAATTTACTAAACGAAATATGTAAGGTAAAGGGCCATATTATGGAACATTGTACTAGTTTATGAAACATGTGATAAAAATCTGAATTACAAATAATTTCTAACGTATTCAGTATTTATAATATTATCTTTATGATCTTTAATAACCTATTTATTGATTAAATTAATTTATTTTGGTAAACACCTTAAAATGTATAGAAAAAAAAAATAGTGAAATGCACGTGTCAGGTTGCATGAAAAAAGACTGTCTTTTAGAGTTAGAGAATGACAGGTGTCATCACAATTGTTTTAACAATTTGAAATATTTGTCAATGATTTAAAAATACTTGAAACATGTTAATCAAAAGTTTGACTTATAATCTATTGATTGATATTGAATTTAAAGTACTTTAATAAGGTATTTATTTTTTATTTAGGTGTTTCATAATTGCCGCAAAAATTTCTAAACAGACCGTATTTATGGAACAGTATATTCAGTGTTCCACATCCCCCTCACATTCGATTTTCTAAGTTGTCCGTAATTATGAAACAGCAATAAGTGGACAATATTTAGTTAATTTCGTGTTAATAATTGTTAATTAATTATAACAAAGCAATTTACGTTAGAACAGTTTATATTTATAAAAATTTGCATTTAGATAAGTACATAGATTGTAAATTTCCATGAAAATAAAAAACTAACCTCAAAAATGAATAAGCTGGATGATAAATATTGTTTTATGTTAATTAAAACATATACTTAAGTGGAAAACCTGCCTGAAAAAATTAATAACACTTTATTTTATTCAAAATTTTTACGAAGCACCTACATATCACATTTTTATAGATGTTTTTAAATTAATAATTTTTATAGGTAGATACATTTTTTTTATTGAATTTGATATCTTTATTCTATAGACTTGTTTTATATTGTTATTATTAATTTTGATTGTTTGGAATAATTTTTAAAATGTGATATTGGTTGGTTTTCATGAAATAAATAAACTAACTGTCAAAGAATTGACGTTGGTAAATTTTAATTTTTAGAGAAAGAACAGAACAGTAAGAAAATAATTTGATTAATAATCAAGTCGAATGATAAAACTAATGATTACATGACACTTAACAATGATTGTCATTCTTCTAATAAATATTCTCCTCTGATAAATACCAGTACCCAGTCTCAACAAAGCGGCCATTCCTGAGGTAATTACTGTATGAAATTATAGTATAAAATGAACCTTTAGATATGGTTACTGAATCTCCTTCAGGTATTAATGAAAGTAGTAATTTAAATTGACTAAATTTAACTAATATTTTGTTAATATAAATTTAATATTGTGCGTAATGTTGGTGATGAATTAATATTTGAGTTGAATTTGAAGTCAAGAAAAAATGGATTAAAGTTGAGTCATCAGGTAAACTCAAACTACCTTCTGCTGGCATATCTGATCAATGGATGCAATATGACTCAAAAAAAGAAACTGATCGTAAAACTAAAGAAGAAAAGCTACATAAAAGAAAACAATTATTAAATGAGAAAAAAGTGATAGCTGATGAACGGAAAAAGCTACTAGAGAACGCATTACTACAAAGGATCAAAGAAGAAATGAAATAGTTGAATTTTTGGTTTAATTTAATGTATATTTGGTTTTTATATCTTGTTTATTAATCCTAAGATTTGAAACTGTTCTTGTCATATTTACTTTGTAAGTGAATATTTATTTATTGCTTGTTTATTCGTATAATTTTTAAATCTAACTGTATTAATAATTAATAATAAAACTTTTGATACTATGAATAAATAAATTAGTGACTGAAAAATGTTTTTAATGTGAGTACTTCAGTTCATTTTGAGTTCCATAATTTGGGACATTCCCGATGGAACACCCGTACGTGTTGCTTTAGACTGTTTCATAAATACGGCCGTATGTACTTGTCTGTTATTTTATTCAATTTATTACCATTTTCAACTAAAACTCACTTGATAATAATTATTATCACTTCAGTAGATATCAGGCAAACTATTAACTTAGTAAAATTCAATGTTTCAACTCTATTTTTTTTTAAAACAATGTAAAATATTCAACTCCTACTCAAAAGGTGTCTCATAATATGGCCCTTTACCTTATGTATGCAGTCAGATGTATCGACAGCTATAGCTCTCACAAATATTGCCATATTGCGGAGTAGAATTAATCATCAAATAGAAGACGATCCTACGGCTGGTTCTCGGATTTACTTGTTTTTTATGGGTATTTCTATAATTCATCACTATATCATAGTCGGAAATATAAATTGATCCAGAAGTCTATTATATCGACTAGATGAACCCCATGAACACTATGTCTGGTATATAATCAGAGTAATAAACCATCACATTTTAGAAGAAACTAGCAAACGTTGCTTTGCCAGAAAAATTAAAATCGCTATTAAAAAATAGGGGTGAGTGAGTGAAGGGTCAAAATATTGGGGTTTTTATAATTTGGCATTTGAAATACATACATACATACATACAGACAAAATTAAAAATAATGTTAGGGTTGGACAATAGATAGATAGATAATAATAAAATAGTATAGTATACGTTTCGCAGATCTGCTGAATATTCATATAAAATGTCATAATAATCGGTCAAGCCATTTCGGTGGAGTATGGTAACCAACATTGTGACACGAGAATTTTATATATAAGATGAATTAAGAAAACGTTATGTTAAAAATTGTCGTTTTAACACAGGTATTGACGTCAGTAGAATCAGCGAGAAAAGGCAAACGGATTTATAGGAAACCAGCGCATGAGAATAAAAGGAAATATTTTAAAAAGGTTCCACTAGCTAGACCTGTCAAAGGCTTAGCGGTTGCACCCAGTAGACCAGAAGCAGAGGTTGTGCCAAGAACACATAACAGATACGCAGAGTTGTTACCGACTGTAGATAAATCTACGGACAAAGCAGCTCAATTGCAAAGTGAAGCTTTAATAGATTTAGTTGCAATAGAGCAGAGTATCACCAATAATAAACATACGTTGCCAGTAACGAAATACGAATTGCCAGTAATGCAAGCACTACCGGTATTGAGTGGGTTGCCAATAATAACGAGCTTGCCAGAAGTGAATATACGGCCACTACCAATACCGAATAATGTTAAACCAAATATCGAAAAATTAAGTGGTACTAATTTATCTCATTTAAATGGACACGAGGTAATGCTGTTTGAAGTTTATTATTATTACCAGCTGATTCCACGACTTCGTCCGCGTGGAATTTAACTTTATTTTTCTAAAATAAAAGTAGCCTAAGTTACTCCTTATTACATCAGCTACCTGTCAATAAAAGCCCCGTTTAAATAGGTCCAGCCATTTCAGAGATTAGCCCGAACAAACAGACCGACAGACAGACAGACATATATTGTAAAAAGTGTTTTTTTGGTATATGTACCGTATTTATATTTATATGCATGTAGTAAAAAACGGTTATTTTAATATTACAAACAGACAAATCAATTTTATTTATATGTATAGATTATAGCCTTTATTCAAATAAACTTTACCTAATTACACTTTTTTTTTTAAAACTTAATAACAAACTAAGTTATTGTAGTAATTGCATCTTATTTATTTTCTGCAGATCTGCAGAGCTGCCAATCGGCAAAGATCTCCTCCAATTATTTCTATTTTTTTCATTTTCTATTTTTAAAAGAGCAACACACAAGTTTCTTGCTTATTCTTCTTGCAGATTCATCATCTGCATTCCGAATAAGCAGTAGAATAAAGAAAATTTGACTATTCAAAAGTGCTTATATTAAGTTTATTTGAATAAAGATTATTTTCTATTTCTGTTTCTATTGTCGTCTCTCTTGTTCACTCTGTCTCATATTACTCCTACCACATCTCTGATATCATCATCCCATCTTGTGTGTGGTCTGCCTTTTTTTCTTTTACCCTTTCTTGAATACAATGTTGTCAGAGTCTAAAATATAAATTGATTGGTATTATATCACAATATTTCTATGCTATTGTGATCAGTCATATTACATTATTAATTTCTAATTAAATATAAATATTCTTTATTGCACTTAAATACATTTATAAGTAAATTAATTACAGCTAATGTTAACAAAGGAGGACTTATCTCTAAAAGAGATCTCTTCCAGTCAACCCAATAGAGCGTGGCATAGGAAGTGTTGAGTGGGTTAAAATGTGCAAATTATATTTTTTATGAAAATATAATTTGCACATTTTAACCCATTTAATTAATATAATTAATTTTCAGGTTAAATATGAAATAATCGATGTAAACCAACTCAGAAATAATCCAATACTGCACAAGTGGTTAAGATTTGAAGAAGTCAAAAGGAAGCTGTTCCATTAATCTTTTAGTGTTCCGCCCCGGGTTCGTCTGAATCCCAATAATTTTGTAAGTTTTGTATATATATTAATATAATTCGAACTGGGTGGTATAGTAGTTTAGCACACCGCCCTCTTACCGATGGTTGTGGTTTCGATTCCTTGCGCGGTACAAATTTTTGTATTCATGAGTATGATTGCTTGTATCGGTCTAAGTGTTTTCTATGTATATCACGTATATATTTACAATAAAAAAGAATTTAAGTCTATCTGATGTCTAGAATCCATAACACAGCCTCTGCTTAGCTTGAGACTAGATGGCTCTGTGTAAATTGCATAGTGATGTTAGTATTACTATTATATGTGTTAATTTAATATTTTATATATTACTCCAATACAATGTACTTTACAAACAGCGAAATAATAAAATTCTCACATAACAACAAAGCTATCTATTTTAATCAGTTTCAAAGAAGAATGTTAGCAACAACGTTAGGTAATTTAGACCTAGTTCTCCGAACAAATTATTGATACTCTTCAATATAAATACATTATCATAATTATATTGAACTTGATAAGGCTGAAGATTATATCTTGTGCTCCGCTCTCATCTCATCTAATCACGTATTGTTATTACTAAATATATTATCAATTATTATAAAAGACATTTTGTTATATCTTGACATTATTATTTTGTTTAAATTGTAATTATGAACTCATACTCCTGTTTGTCGCTGGCAGTTATATTACAGGTAAATTTCATATTAAAAACCAATTACTTTGTATTTATATAGTATTTATTAAATAAAATAAATATTTATCGACATATATTTGTTAGGGTTAAAGAAATATTATTAGGTACATAATCTTATACCGGGATATTTTACAATAAATAAACTATAAATATTTTCGTTAAAGATGTAATTGTTAGAGGCATGGTCAATTGTCGACATTGTGACTATCGCAATATTTTACTTTGCCTATGAATTTGAAGATAAATCTTAGAATTACTGGAATTTTCTATAGCTAGAAAGTTAATAAAATTTTAGGTTATAAATATGTTGATTCAGCCGGTCTTAATATTTCTTTTGACCAGAGTCCGGATTTCTCTCAGGGATCGTTTTATACTTCATATTCATCATCACCTATAGGATATCCTAATGTAATAAAGCTTCTATTAATACGTAATGTATTTTTTTAAACTTTTATTTCAGTTTGCCTCTGCTCAAGTTCTGTCGTACGATGGCTCACAGCTCATCTCTTCACCAGCTTTTCAGAATTTCAACGGGAATCGTCAAAATTTAAACAGCATTTCAAATGCTAACAACATTGGCTTGGCAACGAATAATATACTGCCAATGGCCAATATAAATGCTGCAAATAATATAATAAACGCCAACCAATTGACAAACATGCCAATAGGAAACAACTTTGCCAATGCCAATTCAGATGTATTCAGAAATAATTTACTTACCAATAATTTTGGTAACAATTTGGAGGTTAGAAATTTATTCAATAATAATTTAGCAAATTCAGTTGCTAATTCAAATTTAGCAAACGCTGTTGCTAATGCAAATTTAGTAAATGCTAATGTGGCTAATATTAATTTAGCAAATGGATACAATATTAATAGTGGTAAATTTGAACCAGTTAATAATCCAACCTTTGCACAATTGGTGGCGGCACATAATTCTGGCGTCCAACTTTTAGCAGACGGTTTACAGGTCGGTGGAGCTCTTCTAATAAGAGGGCAGTATCCCATACAAGGTACTGTAGGAGTGAATGGGAATTTAGAAAGCAGAGGAATGGCATCCGTTTTATGTAATACATAACTATATATTATATAAACATAGAATCATGTACTTAATATAATTATTTATTTATTTATTGTTATTTAAATAAATTAAGTTGTAATATTTATACCTTTTTTATTTATTGATTCCATCGTGTATATTTGTAGAAAGTCATCTAAAGGGTACAAATGATCAATTAACTACTACAAATGATGTACTATGCAGCTGCATATATGATTAAATTAATTGATGACATAATTTGACAGCTTCGGTGGTTCGGTTTAGAATACCGCCTTATTTCCGATGGTCGCGGGTTCGATTCCTCGCACGGCACAAACATTTTGTATTTATGAGTATGATTGTTAGTATCGGTCTGGATGTTTTCTATGTATAATATGTATGTATGTACGAAAGAAAAAATAAAATATCTATGCATTTGTATCAGTTATCTAGTACCCATAACACAAGCTTTAGCTAGCTTAACTTGGGTCTAGATGGCGCTGTGTGAATTGTCCTGAGATTATTAGATATTATTATTAGATAATAAAATTGTAGGAACTGAAAATTTTCATAAAATTATGTATTGTGCTATGTGTGAGATGTTTCTCCTAACATTTTTTAGCCTATATTTAATTTTCGTTGACCCATTATTAACGTGAACATTACAACATTAACACAAACAGACATACAATTTCACCTCACATAATAACTTTTATAAGTATGAGTCGTCATAGCCGAGTTAAAAATTTATGAGGTTCAAAAAAAATAAAAGAGTTTCAATAGAAAAACTGACGATGTATTAATATATTTATAGTAACTTAGATGATAAACAAACGCGAGGAAAAAATATTAAAAACTACTAAAACAACGACAATAAAAAAAACCACAACTGTTACAATTAATAGAATGACATGTATAACAATTTTTCTAACTTCTAACTACCAAATGCAAACCGAAAGATCGTATATTCAAATCTGATAACACAACCAAATTTTGCAGTTCCATTTCTAACTTTGGAGATAGATACACTTGATAGAAATGACATATTGTAACTTACAACTAAACTAATTCGAGGAACGACGGGATGCTCGTCCCATGTCACGTTGGATTCAAAGATATCAAGCAAAATGTCTCAAAGGAGGACACAGGTCTATCGATATTATTATCACAAAAATTTGCATCTCGTAATATTCTTACATTTGTAAAAAACATCATACAGTTATGTTTTTTTTTTTAATTTATTTAGGTCAACAAACAGTTACACATTATATATATGACTTATGGCTATTTACTAATAAATTTTAACAAATGTGTCACCCACTACGTTAACCACTGATTACTATAATTATACAATACTGCCTACTAAGGCATGTTACAGAGATTATGTTACTTATTAATTAACTACCACTACCAACTCTTAACAAAACTTTTTTATATTAACAATACAAAGAAAACTAAAAATTTTATGATGAATACACTGTAGACTACAATATTACAAATAATTATTATGTTAGTTACGAAAGATGATATTTACGCCATGTTTAAAACTATATTATAATTAAAACTATACACATACGTGTAACTGGTAATTAACAAGTGGATCTTAATACTTCTCCTGATTCAGAACGCAATAGTTTAGTAAGTACCTACTTATTTACAATTACAAACACGAATTAAAGTTATATAAGCTTTTTATGTGGGCATCTGCAACAAATGTTAATATTGAGTTATTATAAGTGGGAAATATTCCAAGAGATATGGAAAAATAGAGAAAAATTCTTTATTGGCAACTCCGTCAGTCGATCATATAAATATAAATATCATATAAATATGAAAGTTTGTGAGTATTGATGGATGTTTGCTACCCTTTCACGCAAAAACTACTAAACGGATTGTGATGAAATTTAAAAGTAGTATAGCTTATACAGCAGGATAACATATAGGCTATAATTAAAAAGATATCATGTAAATTGGGCGAAATATAATGATAAATGTAATTTAGGTGTGATGCAGACGAAGTTGCGCGGGTCAGCTAGTATATCATATAAAAATAAATTAAATTACACTTACTGCAGTATACCGTGGTGTTGCTCGCGTGAATTTTTATAAAAAGTATCTTAGTCGTTAATTTATACATAGAAATAACATTGGAGTGTTTGTTTGTAACATTGAAATAAACGTTTTTTTACTACATGCATATGAATGAATTCGGTACATATACCAAAATAACATTTTTTACAATTTTTGTCTGTCGGTCTGTTTGTTCCGGCTAATCTCTGAAATGGCTGGACGGGTTTTTACAGGACTTTTTTGGCAGGATTTAATAAGGACTTGGGCTACTTTTATTTTAGAAAAATACAGAAAATACATAACGGATTTCTGTGAGTACTATATATATATAGTAATAAATTTAAAAGAGCAACACACAAGTTTCTTGCTTATTCTTCTTGTGATGAATCTGCATTCCGAATAAGCGGTAGAATCAAAAAACTTGACTATTCAAAAGTGCTTATATTAAGTTTATTTGAATAAAGACTATTTCTATTATCTATAAGTAATGTAAATGACAGTGATTTTTTTAAAACAGTAATCACGTATTTTTGCGCTTCGGTAGAAGGGGGTAGAAAGTGAAATTAGAAAATCACTGAAAATCAGTGCTGCAGTGACTCGCTGCGGCACCAGCTGAGTGGAGATCCTTTTAGCTCATAGCACGATATTAGATTTTAAGGTTTATTATATTTTTACTATGTTATGCTTTGCTGAATAAAAGATGATTATTATTATGTATTATTGAATTACAGGATAAAAGATTTTGTCTGGTTGATTTCTATATATTTCTATAAGTTGTCTAGTACCCATAACATAAGCTTTGCTTGGGACTAGACGGCGCTGTGTGAATTGTCCAGGGTCATGAAGATGAAGTTTCGGGCAACAATTACTTAATAAAGAATCAAATCCAACATAGCAATTAATAATTATTTATTAGAATGAACAATTAAATTAATATATATACATAGATAATTTCTTTAACTCTGATTTCCTGAAGTTAAACATTCACAATTATTGGCAACAGAGACGGAGCCTCCAACCGGTACGTATCCTTCAAACGTTACGTATCCAATAACAGGCATATTGCCTGATAACCCAGTTGTACCGCTGACAGGAATCTCACCAGTAACAGATATTTCCCCAAGAGCATTCTGGGTTATGCCTGATACACCTGATATACCAGAAATATCTTTCGCTATGTTATTTATTGGTACGTTATTAACTACATTATGACCTATATTGTTTGTAGCTAAATTATTTGTTATCAAGTTACTTGATGCTAAACTATTTACAGCTAAATTGTTTGATAAAATATTGTTGGATGCTAAATTATTACCCAAGTTATTAACTGCAAAGTTAGATGTTGCTAAGTTATTTGCACCAAAATTGTTTGTTGCTAAATTATTTCCAACGATATTATTAGCAACTAAACTGTTAGCTGCTAGATTTCCAGCAATGTTGCTACTGGCTAAACTATTGGCAACTAAGTTATTATTAGCTAAACTACTTGAAGCTACAGCATTAGCATTAGCTTCTACATTATTTCCTATGAAATTATTTGGTAAAAGATTATTACCGACTAAATTGTTACCTATTACGTTGTTTCCAATTAGATTATTTCCTGCAAATTTATCTGCAGCTAAATTGTTAGCAACTAAATTATTGCCTATATTATTAGCCAAGCTATTTGCCAAATTATTAGTTCCTAAGTTGTTTCCCAGTACTAAATTATTTCCGAATCCAGAGACTTGTCCAAACGCATTCTGTAACAAAAATAAAAAAAGTGTAAGTAAAGTAAATATTATTATGAGGATAGTATACTCCAGAACTATTGTTTTGAGAAATTCTTACAATGTTTGAAAGGTAACACTATTGGTAATTTATTCTTGAGCACACAAAATTGTATATAGCGGAATTAATACCTGTAAACAATATATAAAATGTATAAAAACTACTATTAAGAAAACTAGCCTAGCATAAACGAGCCTAACATAAATACTGTTAGCATTTTCATCTGCTTATCTGTACACTAGTGCGATTTAATCTCAAACGGCTGCATCGATTTAAATAAATTTCACGAATGTATTGTTGTAAGCTTTGCTTAAAATTTTGTGTTTGTTATTTTTACAAACAAAACAATTAGAAACTATTATTATTGTGATCACCACGGGAATGAAGTCGCGACCTCAGCTAATGGGTGAATAGTGTAGTATGGATATAACTTACTTGCATGAAACAGGCAGAGAAGACGAGTATAGTATACGAAAACATGACTTTATCGTGTTTTTTTAATGTGATATAAGTAATACTATAACAGCTATATTTATATAATAATTATCAAATATTACTTCAATAATTATAAGATAAAACAATCACATACAATCATGATTTTGTGTAATATTCTAAGAATTTTGTTAAGGAAATGTTATTTTATAAAAGAGTCGCTTACATAAGATGTTAAATTTTGCAATTTCTTTATTATCTTTGCATATAATGAAGGCGTCGGTAGTCAAGCGGTTTAGCACATTGCTTTACTTCCGATGGTCGCGGGTTCGATTCCTCGCACGGTGCAAACATTTGTATTCATGAGCATGATTGTTTCTATCGGTCGGGGTGTTTTCAAAGTGTAATGTGTTTATTTACAAAAAAAATGTATCCATGTATTTATATCAGTTGTCTAGTACCCATAACACAAACATTGACTGACTGACTGAGTTGGAGCATCAACAAGACCATCATTAAAGATCAGATTTCATTCTTCTACTTTTAAATTCTTCTATCTACTGCGATACTGAAAGCGACAGTGTTGCTCTGTGTATAATTGTGCATGGTAGACAAAAAACGCTGAAATCGGTTAAATTATTGTTGAGGGGTTAGGCTGTAAAAAACCTATTTTCCCCTCTCTACAGTGTACTCCCACACTACAGTGTGGGAAATGGAGGGAAAAATAGGTTTTTTACAATTTTTCTAGAGATATTATAAAATCAATCGAAATTCCAATTAAGAGTATTTATTATATATATTATTAACTATTTACAAAAAAAAATCAGAGCGATTAATTTAAAAATGGCGGCTGTACAGCATGTTTCTCATGACGTTTTCGCTCTCTCGAATTACAGCAGCTGTTTGGCCACGGCCGGACAAACAGCTGCTGTAATTTTTAAATTATAATAAGCCACTTTTTTCTTTTAATTCTACATAGTAACTGCTAGAGAAATACGCAGGTTTTTTTCGATATTTTATTTTTTGGCAAAATAGCGCACTTCCAAAGAGGAAAGTGAAAAATTGAATATCAGATAATTTTTAATAACAAATGAACTATGCGATTAAAAAAACCCTACGTACTTCTATAAAGAATGTATTTTTCAAGATATATTCAAAATTTCATGTAAATCGGTTGAAAATTGTTTGAGTTATGTTTCCGGCCAACATATAAATACAGTTTTTTAAGTTTTGAGTAGTAGATTTCTGCTACTCAAAGTTTCAAACGCGTTTATCTCAAAACTGTATTTATTAAGTTGGCATGGCATGGCATGGTCATGAATAATTTTTAAGTACCTTTAATCTGTGATACCTGCAGAATTAGCCTTTCAGGTTATCATCCTAGTCTTGTTTTGCTTTTCTGCTGGTTCTTGAAGCGAAAAGATTTTTCGAAAATTCTAGAATGGCCTAACCCCTTATTATTATAGTGTTGCGTTGAAATCGATTATATTGAAATATTGCACCGTGCACCACTTGCTCTATCGGTATACGATGGCGGAGCGGAGCGGGTGTTACATCAATAAATAGAAATAATAGAAATAGAAATAGAAATAATCTTTATTCGAATAAACTCAATACAAGCACTTTTGAATAGTCATATTTTGATTCTACCACTCATTCGGAATGCAGATTCATCACAAGAAGATGACCAAGAAACAACATGTTGCCCTTTTTAATAGATGTTTTTTATATAAATAATTACTGTAATTATATCAAGTAAGAGGCATGCGATAATTAACATAGAAATCGCTACGCACTTATTATTAGTGTAATCAGATAATATTGTCAGTGCTATGGATTTAAAGTTTTCTATAAAAACATTATTATCGTTTACGAATTTTTTAATTTTGTAGTAAGCTTTTTGCAAAGGAAGTATTTTATTTCACATTTAAATCTTTTTTCTGGCAGATTTATAACAGACTTTGATATTTTATAGTAAAACCTTATGCAATTGACATAAAACGAATTACTAACTTTAGCCAAACGACATTTAGGTAAAATCGGTTTGCTATTGTTACGTAAGATTTTATTAGTGCAATCACTAACTCTTTTGAAAATGTTCAAAAATTCTTCCTGGCATACATGATATTTTCATAAATATATTGAGAAGCAACGGTGAGGATATTTGATTCCTTAAAGCACTCTAGTAAAGACTCCCTGGAACCCATACTATAAATGGAGCGAATGGCCCTCTTTTAAAGATGATAAGATGAGCATGAGGCCAAGACAGTTAGTCCATCGTGGCAAATTCACCTGGAATTTATAACGATGGTTTCCATGGAATCAACCTGACATGGCAGTTATTAAGAATATTAGTCGACATTACTAATAGTTAAGGAAATAGGTTATGCCTATTTCCTTAACTTTAATAAGACAAAAGTGACAATCCTTTTTTTGTCGTATGGGAAAAAAAACAAAATACTGTCTACCCCTGATGAACTTGTGTGTGAGATTCTTACCCATAAATTGTAATTTGTGTGCATTTACAAAGTATTGTGGGCCCAACTGAAAATCAGTGCTGGACACATAGTTTTCAGCACTATGCTGAGTGGTGGTCTCATTGATTCTGTTTTTTAATGTGTAAATATTTACTATAAAATTATATTTTATTCTATTCTATTATATTCTACACTATTCTGTTCTATACTAATTAACCTTTTCATTGTTTTGAAAAACTTTTCCAACGAGTACGAAGAACAATCTCATGCGTCAACTCATTATTTAGACGTTACAGAATAAACAATAAATAAATAATTAGTACAGGACAATTTCACAAAAGACACAGCGTCATCTAGTCCCACGTTAAGCAGAGCTCGTGTTATGGGTACTAGATAACTGATACAAATACACATATATATTTTTTTCGTAAATACATATATTTTTTTTATAACGCAGGAGAAAATGAGCATGCGGCTCACCTGATGGTAAGTGATTACCGCCGCCCATGAGCACCCGCAATACCAGGAGAATTGCAAGTACGTTGTCGGCCTTTAAAAAAGGAATAAGCTCTTCTCTTGAAGGTTTCAATATCGTATCGGTTCGGAAATACCATTGCTGGGAGGTGACTCCACAATGTGGTTGTGCGTGGCAAAAAGAAAATACATATTATACATAGTAAGTACCCAGGACAATACAATCAATCAAACTCATAAATACAAATGTATGTATCGTGCGAGGAATTGAACCCGCGACTATTGGAAGTAAAGCTGTATGCTAAACCACTAGACTACCGTGGTAGACAATTATTTTAGTGCTTTGGGTTTTTCGTTATTGAAGATGTATTGTTTCCTTAAAATTAAATAACATTGTGGTAGGCAAATGAGTAAATCTAAATATTATTTATACTCAAAGGTGACTGACTGACTGACATAGTGATCTATCAACGCAAAGCCCAAAACACTGGACGGATCGGGCTGAAATTTCGCATGCAGGTAGATGTTATGACGTAGGCATCCGGTAAGAAAGAATTTTGATTATTTCTACCCCCAAGGGGATAAAATGGGGGATGAAAGTTTGTATGAAACTTTGTCAATTTTAAACCGATTGAGCTGAGACTTTGCATGCATAAAGCTACTATGACTATACTAGGCATCCCCTAAGAAAGGATTTTTATAAATTCCACCCCTAAGGAGATGAATTAACGCAAGCGAAGCCCCCGGCAAAAGCTAGTAAATAAGTAATTGTTTTGTGTTTGGTATTTTGAATTTCAAAATTTTACTTATTTACTTCCATATTTTGTTTTGATTTCTCAAGCAATAAAAATTGTACGTTTAAAAGAAAACAAGGGGTTTATTTAATTTCATTCAGCTTTATTTATTATCACAATAAATTTATTATATTAATATATTTTACAATAATTACTTAACATCTAAATACTGAAATATATAAATGAATATATATTTTAGTAGACTACACCAATACCGCCAACCCCCAAACCGAGTCCACCAACGCGGGGACTACCTCCGCCAAGGACACCAAGTCCATTTACACCCACACCGAGTCCATTCAGACCCACACCAAGTCCATTAAGACCGGCATTGAGGCCATAATTCTCACTTATTACACCCACATTTCCAATACTTCCACATCCACAATTTGCAGCGCCAGCTCCTGTAGATGGTAACGAACCATCGAAGGCCACAGCACTTAAGAATGGCAATTGACCGTTGACCAGCAAAGCCCCTTCAATTGCGTTATCAGATAAAACAGTAAGACCATTAGGTACTACTGAACCATAACTAGAGATGGGTAACGTACCACCGTTAGAAAGAGATGCAAGATTTATGTATGTGGGTACAGAATTGCTAACTACGCCAGCGTTACCTTTTGCGGCGTTGTTGACTACAATCCCAATGTTACCCAAACCGAGGCTTGCCAAGTCAATTCCATTGTTCACAGCGCCAAGACCAGATCCAGGAATTCCAAGACCACCGTTAACAATGCTGAGGCCCGATAATACACCAAGATCGCCGTTACCTACACTACGGCCTGATCTCACCTTGCCAAGTCCTGGTACCGCGCCAACTCCACTTCCTACGGTGCCAAGTACGCTTCCAGCTACGCCTCCAGCTAAGCCTCCAGCTACGCCTCCTGCTACGCTTCCAACTGTGCTAAGTCCGCCGGATCCAGCAAGTCCGGTAAGTCCACCTAATGCATTGGATCCGATAAGTCCAGTAAGTCCGTTGACCCCGCCACGTGCTCCAGTGGCGCCACCAAGGACACCGCCGGCAGCAGAAGTAGCTGATCCCACTAAACGGCCGATTTGTCCTAACGTCATCTGTAAAATATTAAATTAAACATAATTACCACACTATCATAAAAATATTATACGTGATCTCTACCCGACATACGCCGAAATATCGTGAGATCCAATATGGCCGAAATGGAACAGTAAAAAATACACTAACACTAAAAAAAACATAAAATATGTGTATATATATTATATTTTTTTTTAGACTACTCTAATGCTATTCGCCGTAGTTGGCCTACAAAGCTTCACTGGACGATAGGGGGCGAGTGCAGATGGCACTCCAAACCCACGGAAGGACTTATGGAGCGGCTGAGGGCCAACTCACGCCTGACGGATACGACTTTAGTCTGAGGGCACCACTAGGGGTTCGAACCTCGGCTCAGGCAGGAAATTAATACATTTAACCACATGTAAACAACCACATTTATACATTTAACAACATTTAAGGCCAGCTGCAGCCAACAGCATTAGAGTAGTCCGAAATATATATATATATATATATAAATTACCTGCATAAATAACGCCTGAACACAGAAGAGTGTAGCGACCTTAGCAACCATTGTTATATCTATTCTTAGAATACTACTTCTATTATAATAATTATTTATATGAAACATTAATATATATATAGTATTCTAGGATACTTTATCTCATCTATTGCTATATATCAGTTACAATTTATCTAACACGTAATTGTATTGATAATCATAATTTCATATGAGTCCAATAATATGCTATAATAAATATCTTTTGTAAATATAATGATAATGTGTAATATAAGTATTGTGATATCTTTTTTATCTTCAGATATTAAGAAAAAACATAAAATTGTGACTAGATGAATACTATGTGTTTGTCTGCTTCCGTTTAACACAAATAGCAGACAGACAGGCAGACAGAAATATAAAAATAGTCTATACATATAAATGAAATTGGTGTGTCTGTTTGTAATATTGAAATAACCGTTTTTTACTACATGTATATGAATATAAATACACCAAAATAATATTTTTTACAATTTCTGTCTGTTTGTCTGTTCCTTCCGGCTAATCTCTGAAATGTGCAGACAAATTTTGACGGGATTTTTATTGACAGGTAGATGATGGGGAGTTCAAGTCCAAGTTCCTGGAGAAATCCAACCCCAGATTCTTCAAGACTATGGTGAATTCATTTCTTCTGGGTAAGCGAACTACATCGTAGATCTGACCATCATTTTCCACCAGATGAGATAAGACCAAACGGAAACGCAGTAATCTTATCTTAATAATATTATAAACGCCAAAGGTTGTGATGAATATTTGTTACACTTTCACGCAAAAACTACGGAACCTATTTTGATGAAACTTTACAGTAATATAGCTTATACATCAGAATAATATAGGCTATAAGTTTCACGTGGGTGAATCAAAATAAACTTATGAATATACATAAATGCTTGCACCGTGCATGTAATCGAATCTATGACCATCGGAAGTAAAGTGGCGTGCTAAACCGCTAGCCACCGAGGCCGAGGAATAATATTGCTGATTTACAGTTTTTGGGATATCTAGCCTATATTTTAACAACATATTCTGTGAAAAAAAAAACTATTTGCTATATAGCAAGTTCTATATTTTCATATAAAAGATTAAAAATAAACCAAAAGTGTAAATCATCATATTTCATATTTCATATTACTTTATTCACAAATGTAACAAATCTCGTTACACAACAACATGTCAATAGTAATTACATTTTCAAGATAATTATGTCACAATTACAATTTTAAGTATTCAAAATAATAAATTAAATAATATATAACATAGTAATAATCATCAATTATTTTTTTTATTTTAAGCTAGATCAACCTCGCAACTTCGTCTGCATTACATACTTGACATTTATTACTTTATTTCGGACAATTTACATAATATCTTTTTAAAGTTAAATTTATTACTAGTATTTACATAACCTAATTGTACAACTAGGAACCTAAAATTAAAAAGCTTATGATTAGCTTTTTAAATTATAACCTCTGTGTTATTATGATATAGAAGCATATAATTTCTACATCAAATAACACATAGGCTATTTCTAATCATACAGAAAAGTTTCAAAATCTGTTCAATAGTTTTTCCGTGAAAGAGTAACAAACATCTATCTATCCATACTCAGAAACTTTCGCGTTTATAATATTAGCTGTGATATATAAGAATTAATCAAAATCCATTCTTAGCGGATGCCTACGTCATAACATCTACCTGCATGCCAAATTTCAGCCCGATCCGTCCAGTGGTTTGGGCTGTGCGTTGATAGATCACTATGTCAGTCACCTTTGATTTATATATATTTAGATTTTTTATCGAAGGAGTTAAATTGTTACAGCATTAAATAAAAATATAGATAGATAGATAGATAGAATATACTTTATTTGCAACGCAAATAAATATAATTTGGCAGATGAATATAAATTATTATGCATACGAAAAGAAACGAAAGAAATGCTTGTATTAAGTCATCATTTATTCCAAAATTTTAGTGCTTCTCATTTAGTAAATTATGGGACCAACACCACCGCATGCGCAGTTTCCAGAGATGACAACGGAGCCAGCAGCTGGCAGGTTGCCGCTGAATTGCACAGCGCCGAGCACCGGTACTTGTCCAGACACGATAGTTTTACCAACGACTGGCAGGTCACCTTTGACAACGAACAGACCGTTACCAGCACCGCCGTAGCCGGTGTTAGGGATGGCGAGACCGTTAACTCCAACATTGGCACCAGCGATACCCAAACCAGCAGCACCAAGACCAATTCCTCCAAGATTGGCAGCAGCAGCAGCGTTAGCACTGGCGACGCCTAGACCGGCGGCTCCCAAGCCCGCTCCATACCCAGCGCCCCATCCATATCCTGGGTAAGCAACACGGTCTACTTCCACAGTTTCAACTTCAACTTCAACTGCAGTTGCCTCTTCTACTACAACTCCGCCCAGTCTTCCATAGGGCAGGTACTGACTGTATGCATTCTGAAAAGAACATTTATTTTTTCTTCACCATTTTTTATTTCCTTACGACCGCTGCCGTACTTTGTACAATTGCAATTATTTGTAGGTATATACTTCTTTTTAAATTAAGTGCTACCCCTTTTTTACTCGATTTTAATGTGGATATGTAATACGTAATTTTTTTTATAATCAACAAAGTAGTAATTTTATGTCGTAGATACACTCCTCTAAGTTCAATTTTATTGGGTACATTCAATTATTAGTACAAACTGTATAAAACATATTTTCCGGAGATTTTTATTTGAAAACAAATCTCCACATTTTGCTGAAATTTTTATTTGACTAATATTAAAGTTATGTATTGTCAAATGAGACAGAGCTTTCCAAATCTGTTTGCAAATAGCACAGAACCATTGAATGTTGCGTATGTTTGGAGATAGCGCTTTGAAAACCGTCATTTGCGATTGAATTTTGAAGTAGATTTAAGTAAAATTATTTGATATTTACCTGAATAAGGCAGGCCTGGATGCAAAGCAACAAAGTAGTAAACGTGGACATGTTTCTTTCTATTCAATGGAACACGGATCCTAGAATGAATTACAAATTCCTAATTTGAAACTTATATAGTGTATGCGTTCTGAATTCAATTACACGTATGTATGTTCTAATGTACTATATCAAATACTATGTTGTAATTGTTATTTGTATTAACAAATAACAAGAATAACCTATATATTAAAATTGTAACTTTCGTACGTGATATTAATAATACTGATAAAAATATGTGTCACTATTTACTAGTATTTTGATTACAAATTTGTATAAAAACACACGGGTTACTTGTTAATTTATCATTAAGTGAACAACTTAGAAAAATGGCAGTCAAAACTATTGTACTCTGCGCTCAAGTCCTCTTGATACAGGTAATAAAATATTCTGTCAAAGTATAGAATATTACATTTTTCGGCTGTTTCGGTGGTTCGGCGGTATACCCCACTGCCTAACTTCCAATAATCACGCCTCACGTGGTACAAACATTTGTATTAATGACTATGATTGTTTGTATTGGTCTGTGTGTTAGCTACGTATATTATGGACGTATTTAAAAAATGTATTTAAATAGATCTTGTATTATTGGTACTAGAAAATTGATATGTTCTCTGGTACCCATAACACAAGCTCTGTTTGCCTTCGACTACCTAGCGCTCTGTTAGTTGTCCAGGATTGTTATTATATTATAAAATTAACAGTATGTACACTATTTTTACGTAAATCCTGATCGCAGATGGTCAGAAGTAGTAAAGAGATTCGGTCGTAGCCTCGATTCTTTTTCTCGTTGGTTTTTACATTCAAATTGAAATTCTTTATTTGTGAAGTAGGGGTAAAGCTCTTAGAATAAATAGCATGTTTCACAATTTACTTTACAATTACAACGATTTACAAAGATTACATAAGTAATTAATTTTCGGTTCTACTTATTACATATTTAAATAACTTAATATTGTCTTTTCAGTCGGCGCTTGGCCAAGTGATCAATGGTAACAACTGGTACCGATCAGGAGGTGTCTCTAGTGCAAGTGCGGCGGCAGAAAGTTCCGTCGCTGTTACCAACAATGCTGGTCTTGGATTGATTGCTCCGGGAGTTGGTTTGGCCAATACTGGCTTAATTAGTTCTGGACTTGGTTTGGCCAATACTGGTGTCATCAGCACTGGTTTAGCCAACTCTGCTGTAATCGGTAACACTTTACTGCCTGCTCCCAACGCTGGATTCCTAGACATCGCGTCATTCTCTACCAGCGGTACTCTCCCCATCAACAGCTTCTCTCCCATCGCTCCAGCTGGAATCAGTGTGCTATCACAGAATACTATCGAAGGACCATTGACAGTTATTGGACAGCTGCCGTTCTTGAGTGCTGTGGCACTTGACGGTACTTTTGCCACCGAAGGCGCGGGCGCTGCTGGATGCGGCTGCGGTACCGTCGGCAACATTGGCATCATTGAGGAGACTTTCGCACCTATTGCTGCACCAGCTATTGGTGGAATTGGCATTGGAGCGGGACTCGGCCGGGGATTTTACTAAAATATTGACTAAACCCATCGCATAACCAACCTATAGTAAATAAATTTGCTTCTGACATGATAACGAACTTGTTTCATTACTTGAAAAATATTACTGTATATTTATTATTATTATTGCGTGTTTAAAAACACGCAATAATAATAATAAATATCTGGATAATTCACACAGCGTAGTCTAGTCCCAAGAAAAGTAGATATTGTGTTATGGGTACTAGATAACTGTAAAAGACAACACTTAGACTGGTAGAAGTAATTATAGTCATAAATACAAATGCTTGCGCCGTGCAAGAAATCGAACCCGCGACCATGGAAGTATAACGATCTGTTAAACCATCACACCACCAAGACAGTCGAATACATAATTGTATACGGACAAAGCCGGTTGATATTTTTGTTTTTATATTGGATCACATATTGTTTATTCTTAAGAATAACTTCAAACCGAATTAGGTTATTAATTAATAACTAAGATTAATCTTAGTTATTAATTCGGTTTGTAA